TTTTTAAACTCTTTGCTCTCACTTGAGCCAATACATCTGGGACCTTCTCAGCAGATGATGTGAGGGCCTTTCCCAGCCTGTTTGGCCTGCAAACACATGAAGTCGTTCCAGCTCATTGTGCACTTAGTCTCCTTGTGCGGCTCCAGTTACGTTTACAATGTGTAGCCAGAAGTTAGTGTAGAACAGGAAGAAACAGCTGTGGTGCCTGAAACCTTCTCTCATGGCTGTCAGTTATAAAGCACATACGAGACAGATGGACTGAAGTTCAATAAAACATCATTTTCTTTAAGCTGCTCGTCGTCTTCCCTCTGCCATTGAGGAATTCTGTTTGTCATGAATGAGTGAAGCAGTCGGTAACAGTAGCTGCTGTCTCCTCTCAGGCTGACGACACAGGAAACTCCATCTTCACGGTGCTGAGGAGGCCACAGGAGCCGGCTGCTGACCTGAGGAGGGTCGAGAGCTGTGCCGTCTGTTACGGTAACGACTGATGCTCATACCATGAGTAGTAAACACCACGATGCTTGTGCATCATGGTGTTTGGATGGTGCTAACTTTCACATCTATAGTTTCATTGTTGTGTAGTTTATCTGTAGTAAAGCTGGCTGGTCGTGGTGCTGGACAGCTCAGGGAGATCCAGGCCGATGAACATGTCGGTGCCCTGCAGCTCACACAGCTTTGTCATCAAAGACTGAGATGATCAGAAACCGGTCTGTAACACTAGATGACCGGGTTCAACATGCAGTCAGTGATTTACTGAGCAGCATTTCAGCCAAATATCTGGTGTACAGATACATCATCCTCTCATTAATCTGTCTTCAGAGGGAAGAGCTGGAATTCTTAGCTCCAGATAAGAGCCGACGTCCTGGAAGTGTTCGCTGGTTTAGGCAGGCTGTTTCTTTTTTTGTAAATGTCCAGATTAGATTTGTGTCTTTTAAATATAAATCTAGCTGCTGGGCTGAGCGCCAACTTGATTTATATTTGTCTTTAATATTTTCTGAGACGCATCAAGAATATCAGACAAACTCATCTGTGTTATTTGTCGTCTCTGACTGCACTGACACCTGACAGGCTGTTGGTCAGGTGTGTCTGTGTGACTGAAGAACAGTTTCTCAGCACTACACAGTCCTGAGAAACTTCATGTGACCGTAGTTATTTAACTTCACTCTACAGAATTTATTTAAAGCATTTATATACTTTTAATTGTACGTTATAGTCCTACGTACACTTCTTCAGCAGGCAAACTGTTATGTATTTAATTAAATGTTGTGATTCTCAGAGTCGGCTTTTATTAATCAAGTCTGATAAATCTGATCAGTTTCTAAACCACACTCGTGTTCTCTTCAATAAGCGTGGCCGAGCTACGATTGTTGGGACATCACAGAGCTGCATTTAAAAGCCTGTCATAGTTCTCAGTCACTGAAGTGTTAGCAAACAATTAAACTCAGTGAGTCTGTGTGCTTCAACGGGACGATGCACCTCTGACTGTAAACTGATGTTGGCTGTTAAAATGTGTCATCCAGAAAAATGTTGTGATGACTCAGCGAGTTTCTTCTGCTCTGCGTTCAGTCAGGAGCAGGACGAGCATCAACAACTCTGAAGACAGGAGACAAGTCACAGTCAGGTAGCGCACACGCACACACACACACGCACACGCACACACACACAC